GAGAGAGAGAGAGAGAGAGACATTAGTCTTTGACTCCACCTTAAGCCTAAATCATTCAGCATTGTTGATCGAGGAAGGTGTGAAATAAACCACCTATATAGAAGAGGGGTGCAACACATGAGAGTTCCTTGCTTCTTCAGAGTACGGGTATAGAGAGAATGTAGGATATCCCTAAGCAATGTAGGAACCAGATTGTGAGAAAGAAAAACGTTGATGGCATTCACATCTATAAATTGATCTGAATTAGGAAACAGGACCAACCTATGGATCAAGAGGGCTAAGACATATTCGAAGGCATGATAACTCATAGCATCCAGGAAAATCTGAGCTTTCTTCATTAGAAAATTTGCAAGGAGACCCTTAACTTCACTTCTTTTTTCCCAATTGGACTCAATGTCAGATGGCTTCAAGTGTAAAGCTACGACAACATCTTCAGAAGCTGGGTCTTGTTCTAAACCAGGGAAAGGTTGATAATCGGGGAATGTGAAGCAATGATACTTAGGGTCGAAGAACTGGAATAAGACACTCATCAAACCTTCATCAAATCTGGTGGTAACCAAACATAGTAAGTGACCATGTATTTTGTGGAATGATGAGTCCTCAGGGACTTTCAAGACTAATTCCTTGAGCTTGGGAGGAACTTCTGTGAAGTGAATCCGGATGGTTTTTCTACGACCTGAATTCATATCCTACAAAACAGCAAAGAGGTAAATCTAACAGGTCCTTGAAATGATTAGTATATATGAATATCATGATGTTTATGATGTCATGATTATGCTAAAAATCACAGATAAACACAAGCAAATCACACAATAGACCTTAGGTTCAAAGGCTTGCATGAGGTTTTAAGGTAAGTACCCTCTTGAATATTCAGTTGGCTCAACCTGACCTATTAATAGTAACCGGGTTCTAAGGGGCCTCAATAGCACTGACCTTCCCTTCAGGAATTGTTTCAGCTCTGCACCGAAGTATTGCGGCCAAAAAATCCCAAAAGTCCAGTCTCAATGACTGTAGTATCGAGTATTAACCAATCTTTGGTCGAAACCAAAGCCGCTTATCTCACTACTTCCTAATGGCTATGATGAGTCAATTAAAGGTTCTAAAAGTTAGTTAGCGCTTAGTGACACTATGAGGAAGACTAATGTTATCCTCGACTTACTCAAGGAACATTAGTATAATCCAAAGTATCGCGCTAACATAGCCACCACTTTGTCTGTATCAGTCTACGTCGTACAGCCTCCATGATTTATTGCTACTTACCTAATAAGGTGCCCCAGATTCGGGTGTAGGATCTTTTAGTAACAACCCAAACACGCCCTCAAAAGTAAATCAAACAAAGCATAAAAAGCAGTTTAAAGATGAACTAACTCTAAGGTAAACCCCACTTTTATGTTGTCCCCAGCAGTGTCGCTAGTTCTGTGATACGGTGGCAGAATCGACTGTTATACTGGTTTTGCATTTGTGTTTGCAAATGTTACGGTAAGCAAGAGTCGCCACCATATTTTATTTTATCCAACATAGGAAAGGGTTAAAAGAATAGACAAAGACCTTTTTGAGAGTTTTTTGAGTAAGGGGGGTAGATTATGGAAAGGGAAGGTGTTAGTACCCTTTCCATCCATGGTTTTCCACGGGCTCTTAGAGGTTTTCTAATTTTGAAATACTTTTGTGCTTTGTGTGTTTGAAAATGTTTTTAAAAAAACGCCTTAGTACGGCGAACTTTGTAATGTTTCTCGGGATAGTGGAGAAAGTATACAAAGTGTTTTGAAATTGTTTTTGAAAAGTAGTTTTTGTGTAAGTTTAAGATGATTGAGCAAACTTTTAACAACTATCTACTTTATTACTCGTAAAGGATCATTCTTTTCCTCTTTTCCTTTAGACAGTGCTATCCTACTATTGGTGAGTAGGTAGCCCTATCGTTGGATGTTGAGTGACAATCGAAGGGACGTTTTACAATCATAAAGGCAACATATGGAGACACTTTAGAAATTTTGTTTAAGGGACAAGATCATTTACCAAAAGGCAACACCGTAGGGTCATCGAGGGACTGTGATCTCTTGATTTTTATGGGTCTTTGCTAAAGCGTCCCCATTCTCGAGGGACAGGACTGTTTTACCGAAGGAAACCGAAGTGGGGATACCCTAGAGTTGCATATGTGCATATGTGTTGAGATTCAGTTATTTTTGTCTTTTTATTAGGTTAGCTAACGTTTTAATTTGCAGTCTTTTCATACACGCCTAATTACTAGCAATTAATATATATTGCAGAATATTAAAGTGCAAGAATTTAAATCTACGCTATTACAATATTTTTAAGAGGGGATTTACATTGTACAAGAATGAGTGGGATAAAGCAGTAAATATCCTAATTTAATCTATTTCATCCTGTAATCAGGTACATTAATAATAAAAATGTGAAATTGAATAAACGCGTGTGTAATTGGAAATAACGTCTAAAAATATCCTAAGAAATAAAAATATTTTTGTTTTGTTTTTATCATGAAAAGAAAATTAAATATAAATTAAGCCCTAGATTCTAATTTGTTTTAAGTTAAGAAAATGGTTAAAATTTAATTAATTAATTAATTAAGAAATTAATTATTTAATTAAAATGTCTAAGCCTAATTTTTGTGATTTTTTGATTTAATGTCAAAGTAAAGAAAAAAGATCAATAAAGAAATAATAAAAAAAGAACAAAAATAAAATATGAAGGAGTGAAGGCTTCGATCCAAGGAGAATCATGGCTTCGATTCAGATAAAAAGGTTGCCTTCGATCCGGAGGAAGGCGGATTTCGACCCAGGGAAAAAGGTAGCCTTCGATCCAAGGGAGAATGTTTGTCCTTCGACCCATGGAGAGATAATTGTATTTCGACCCAAGGGAGGAAGATGTCTTCTTCGATCCAGGGGAGGAAGTTATTCCTTTTGATCTGGGGAAGGAAGGTATTCTCAATCTAGACCTGCAAGACAAATATTAGCAAAAAAAATGACCTGGGTGTCGAACCCAGGTCCTTCGATCCTGCGTGCATTGGTTTATTTAGGCCAGATCTGCAGTATGGGCGTGAGAGGAAAAGGAAAACAAAATGTGGACCTGGAGTTGAACCCAGGCCCTTAGCTCTAAATACGAATCGAACATAGTTACATGATATCCTGAGCATGAATAAAATAGTGAACAAACATTAATACATTATGAAATCATAAACGTGAATTTGAAAGTTTACCAGCAATGGGAGGCTTCGATTTGGCACTTCTGGGCGTTTGTTGGCTAGTGTTTGGGAACGCTCCCTGTAGAATTCAGAGAGTGATTGGGAACGTTACTGAAAGTTCCTTCGATTGGGATTGCTTATGAGAATTTTGATGTGTGTGTGTGTAATCTCTTCGTGTGCAATGTGTGATCCTGTGATACAGTACGTGTGCGTGTGTTTGGCTTGCACATGTGAGGTATTTATAGTGTAGAAGGAGGGGACAAGGAAACATGGCAAGAATCAAAGCTATAACTATGCATTTTAAGAGCAAAATCAACATTTGAATAATTTCCATTTTTGTGTTTTAATGTCATGTTTGATGCTGAAAGAATTAGTACAAGTCAATTTGGCGCCTTGTTTAAAATTTTAAAATATTAAGAGCTTCCCCCTTAAAAGCCCCTTCGACCAGCCCTTGTTCCTGTGATGATATTTGTCCTGATATACCAATCGAAGGACACTTCATTCTGATGTTCCAATCGAAGAACATTTTGATGTTCCAATCGAAGGAAGCTCTGATGCTCCAATTAAAAGAAGCCTTGATGCTCAAATCGAAGGAAGCTCTGATGCCCCAATCGAAGAACACTTTGATGTTCCAATTGAAGGAGGCTCTGATGCTCTAATTGAAGGAAGATTTGATGCTCCAATCGAAGGAAACTCGGATACCCCAATCGAAGGAAGCTATGATGCTCCAATCGAAGGAAGCTCTGATGCTCCAATCGAAGAAAGCCATGATGCTCCAATCGAAGGAAGCCATGATGTTCTAATTGAAGGAACATTTTGTTCATATTCAAATTTTACTTTCCTCATGCAGATGTTTGCAACCACCCATGTAAAGAAAATTTTGAAAGAAAATGAGAGGGAAAATTTTGAGGTACAACAGACTCTAACCTGGAAACTGGTGCAAGGGTTTATGTATAGTCAATTTCTTTTTGCTGACTATCTCCTTGTGCAACCAGTCAAGCTTTGTTTCTTACCATATCACTACAAGAAAATTGGCATATTGCGACAGGTATTTTTGTAGATTACGACGGTTAAAACCGTCGCAATTTGCTTTCCACGATGGTTGCTTTACCGTCGCAGAAGTGTGTGTCCCCAACCTATTTCGCGACGGTTACAAAAACTGTCGTTCAAGTTTACGACGGGTTTGGAGCTGACATAATCAAGTATTGGTGACTGTTTGATACCGTCGTGACTATCTTTTGAGTTTCTTTTAATTATTGATGGCGACGGTTCGATACTGTCGTGAATATCTTTTGAAATTGATTAAATTGTTTATGGCGACGGTTCAATACCGTCATGACTTTTGTTGATTATTTTTAATTGTTGATTACGACGGTTCGGTACTGTCGCCATGACTTTTGTTTATGTCTTGATTTTTTTTTATTTTTCTATTATATATATTTTTTATTTAAATTATTATCTATGTAAAAAATTTTAAATATAGTTTTTTTTGTGTTATTTTTTTCTTTAAATTATTTCTTCTTTAATATATTTATTTATAGTATTATTTTTTGTTTTATTTTCTATCACTTTGTAATATAGTAAAAATAATTTCAATAAAAAATATTTAACATCAAATAAGCATTATAATATCCAAAAAAATGTGTGTTCCATAATCATGTAAAATGCGAGTTCCATAATCATGTCAAGTAGTACAAAAAAACCCAAAATATATCAATTCCTAATCTTATAATAATAAGTATCATTATGCCAAAAATACATGAGAAAGTTCACAATCTAATTATCTCGATCATAGCAAAGTCTAATTTTTCCCCCCTGAAGTTCCATTATCTCCAATACGGTAGCTAGACTCAGATGAACGTCTACCATCAGCGGGTGATTCCAATCCCTAAAAAAAGGTATTAAAATAATAATCTTTAAAATAATACTCATAAAATTTAACTTTAAATGCGTCAAAATAATATACCTGTCTTATTGAAATCACATATACAGTAATATCATAGCATACCGAGTTGCTAAATTAAGATTCTCTCCTATTTTAATAAAAGGGTTTGTTATTTATAAATCAATTCTTATGTTGATCAATTCGAAGCTAGACAGTTAAGTTGTTGGAAAGTTTACCTCAATTTGAAAAGGAGATGTTGTTGGTGGGTATCTTTCAACAACTTTACCATTTTTATCAACCAAGAATTTCTCGAAATTCCACTTGACAAGATCACCAAAAAAGCCCCCGGAACTTGATTTCAGAAACCGGTATACTGGAGCAGTAAATGGTCCATTTACATCAACCTGTTTTACAAAACTTCATTACCTTGTCTCTTACTCGCATGTAATCTGTTTTGAAATACTGGATATAGAAACATTGTATCAAACCTTATCAAAAATTGGAAATTCTGCTTTGAACTTAGTGCAAGCAAATTGCTTAATTTCTTCATTTGATCCAGGCTCCTGCATGCCAAATTGATTGCAAGGGAAAGCTAGAACCTCCAAACCTGGAAAGAAAATGCATAAGGACACTAAAAATGTGAGGCTGATAAAAACATTACTTTAGAACTAAAAATCTGAGAGCTGTTTAGAGAGAAACAACAAAGTAGAAAATTGAATTTCAGTCACTTTGAAATAAATCCTTTGGAATATTTTAAATTTTCCTACAACGAAAAGTATCTAAGGCCCAGAGCTCACTTTCATGTTCCACAATAATGACCTTGACACGCTGCTTGCATCAATTACCAACTTGGAACGAAATTTGGATTGCTATAATAGCTATTTCATCCTATTGCACATTCTTCCACACCCCAAAATCGTAATTGTAATCAAAATGAAACAATCCACACTTTTTTCAGCTACTTTTAGGGGGGAAACTGTTTTTCTTTTAAAAACTCCCTCAGCTGCATTTTCTGTTTTCCATCTCCCCAACAAGCACACGACACATTTAAATTCCAAAACGGGAGCCGTGGAATGAGAATCACAGTACTATAATGTCAGACAAGTTAGTATCAATTCCAAACGGTAGAATCCTTTAAAATATGGAAATAAAACAAGATATGTTGCCTGTATAAATTGGATAAAGCATTACACAAGGAAACAGACATGTATTAAGTTCCCCACGGGTATCCTCATACGGAAGTCAATCCTGTTCGAGACACTATTGGATACTAAATGTGACTGTCTCTTCTAGCAAAGATTCAAAATGTATTTTTCTACAAGTGGGATGGACTAGCCTTTTCTGCTGGACTCAACCCTCATTGGTTGAAATGGACATGCATTTAAGACCATAACAAATAGGTTTCCATATAAAGCTATGTTTGGCCGATAGAGAAATACTTGGAATAGAGATATGGTTTTTAAAGTAAGTACATCAACATATCCCATTTGGTTAGCTTCACTCAATCAAACATCAGTATCCACATCTAAAAATCCCAATAAGTTACCTGTGCCTGAACTTCAATAGGAACTAGGAAGAATAGACATACTACTCTCCTAATCTTAAACATAATCCAACTCAAAACAAGGAAGAATGGACATACTACTCTCCTAATCTTAAACATGATCCAACTCAAAACAGGGAAGAATAGACATACTACTCTCCTAATCTTAAACATGATCCAACTCAAAACAGAATGATTTCAGAAGTAGATAGATTCAAAATGAAGCTACACTGTCAAAATATCTAGTCACCAATAATCATATAAAAAATATAGGAAAAATAAACAAATAACTATGCTCCATAAGTAACATACCTCTATCTTTAAAATTTTCATACAAGTGCGAGAGTTCTGTGTAATTTGATGATGTCAAGCCACTGCCATTCATTCAAAGGAAATCATTCAATAGGAGGATCATAACATACCAGAAACTTTGACATAACTTTCAAGGTATTTGATTTGAACCTTCTCAAATAGAACTTGATTAGCAGAAATTGACTAATCACTTCGGAGATACGCTTATATAGAACACACTATTTATTTTTAAATGAAGACTCGCCACCTAATTTGTTAAATGAATAACACCGAATCCATCCTATCAGTTCGGCTTGAATAATGCCCCCCTCAATATTTGTAATAATTCTAAATTGCGGATGCGTGAATAAATGCTTGCAACCCATGCGGTTGCAATACATTGCGGAAACTTCTAAAACCCTAATACTATGTACTACAATGGAGAACTATCTGCTTAAGCATACCTAAAATTTTATGTTTGGATTGGTGGGATGTGATGGAATGAAATAAAATGGAGTGGTATATAATCAGATTCCCTTGTTTGGATTTGCAAATAATGGATAGTTGTGTATTTTTTATAAGTTGATGGAACGGAACAAAACAATTTAGTTCTTTCCATTGCTCCACTCCACTCCATTCCATAATATTATATTCTGCTCCGCTCCTTTCTAATTCATCGATCCAACCATAACCTAAAGGGAAAGTGAGTGCAATTTCCCCTAAACATAACATTACAACTGAAAAAAATAAGGCTTTCACACAAATATAGAGTGAATAAATCATACCATCGTGAAGCAACATTGACAATCAAGAGAACCTTCCCCTTGAATTTGCTAAGAGAAACATCCTTCTTATCAATATCCTGCACCACACAAAAATCCCAATATCCTGCGTCAAAATATAACTTTAACTTAGCTCTTTGGAAGATAAGGGGTAGATGATTCATCATGCATTCATGTTCTGATCTAGCCTATTGAAATCAACACAAAGCCAGCTCAGTTATCTTTCATCAAGAGATTCAAACAAACCATGCAATGCTAATATGAGAAACCTTGGACAGATTCTAATCATAAGGTTTATAATTTCACTTGATCCATTAGTTAGATTCTAACATTTGCCAATAAAATATTATAATCAGAAAGTCTTACTAGATTTATCTTAGATTTCAACTTTGGCAGACACTCTATCAATAATCATCATAGCATTTGCTACAAAATAGTAGTACTACTTGTTACAGAAGTGAAAATATCATGATACAAAGGCAAAGAAAAACATATATGTTCTCTAGTTAATCATAGAATTACTTGTTAAACAATACTAATAACGTTGAAAATGCAAGAGAGTTAAGAAAACATACCAAGAAAAGTAGAAGGAAATGTTGAACCAAACCTAGCAAATCAGGATGAAATGGTAGAAGTCCTGCAACCCAACCAAGGTTTAAGAACCCCAAAATCTAAAATAAGAATAAGAATTGAATTCCCAAACAAAGGAATCTAATTCAATTTCAAAAAGTAAAACCTTTGTTGCTAGCAAATATGACAGAAGCAACACAAGTCACTGAAATAAACATGCTTTGGTCAGAATCACACTCTGCAACAGAATATGATGCTTAAATGGTTATAAAGTCCTTTTACAACACCCACTAGGCACTATATAGCATAGCATATCAGAATTCTATAAACTCAGCCATACCTTGAGTTGAGCATTACAACAAACACTTGATGAGCATCATTTTAGTACTATTCTAGTCAGGTTTCAATATTGCTATTTAACTATTCAAAATAATCATTATACATTGCAACTTGTCAATAAACATATAGTATATATTTTTGCATCTAGGATGTGTATAATATATTGATAGGAAAAGGACAAATTTTAGAAGAAAAAAATGATAGAAAATCAAGGGAATCAAAAATTGGAATCACTAGTTATGATTATTGATGAAAATAACTAGTAATCCACGGTGAAGATTCACTGAAATTTTTGAAGCAGTTTTTCCCTGCACATTGATTGAGCTATGTGCAAGTATTGACACTGTTTTTATTAGTGCAGAAAATGACATAGCAGAAGAAAGTAAATAAGACAAATTTAATAATAGTTTTGTATGGAAACTTATGAGAAGGACATGTTTGAGCATCCCAATACTAATAATGCTATCGGTGGATGAACAGTCTAGTTGTTAATGGCCATTATAGTTTTTTTTTACAAAATACCCAACATTCTCAACAAAATATCCAATCTATTCATATTTGTCTTCATCTTTCACCTTTCATATATGCATTGGAGATTCGCTTAGGTTGGGCTGGGAAAGGAACAACCACTATCCCATTTGGATCAGTATATGGTCCTCTTATATCAGTTTTATGCCTAAAACAACAAATTAGAAAACCTAAAAAATCATAAAAAGAAATAAAACCCTAAAACAACAAATTAGAAAACCTAACATCAATTCAATATATTCAAACTCAAAATCAATCATCACAAATAGCTCAACCATAAGATTCAAGTGAATCTCCAATGCTGAAATCAATGGCAGAGAATGAGAGAGATGAGAACAATGCAAAAAGTGATACATAAAACTTACTGTGTTTGAAGAGATGAACGCAGAGGATGTTAAACTGCTTGCTGTGCGTTTTTTGGTGTGAAGATGAGCGGTTTGAAGAGATTCCTTTCGGTGTCAAGGGGTTTCTTTCGGTGTGAAGAAGAACGGTGTGAAGAAGAACGGCATGAACGGAACCGTGAGTAGAAAAAGTGAACGCAGGAGTAGAAAGTGAATGGATGTTTTATGAGCTTTTTAACTTTTTTACGGCGACGAGTGTTTTACCGTCGTGCCCATGAGAATTTTTAAAGGTTTTGGGTGCGACGGTTGTTTTACCGTCGTGAAATGAATTTTAGGACGGATAATTTTACCGTCGTGAAAGGTTTAAGGGTGCGACGGGTGCTTTACCATCGTGATATGCCTTTTAGGACGGTTAATTTTACCGTCGTGACTAGTTGTTGGTGAAAAATCAATGTTAAAAGTGTTAAATGGGGGCCGACGGTTGTTTTACCGTCATAATAATAATATTATGATGGTTAAATATACCGTTGCAAAATAAATATTAGGGACAGTTGGTGTCAACTGTCGTAAACACTGTCTCTATATGTCAATTACGACAGTTATCACATAACTGTCGCAATTTTTATGTCGTTAAACACTAATTTTCTTGTAGTGTATCTCCTTTCTCATTGAGCTTGTTTCTGAAGACCGACTTAGTTCCAATAACATGAGTTTCTTTGGGTCTAGGTACTATATCTTATACATCATTTATTGAGAATTGAGTGAGTTCTTCATGCATGGCTAGAATATAATAATTGTCTAGAAGTGCTTCATCAATTGATTTAGGCTCTATCAGGGACACCAAACCAAGAAGTGCATCTTCAGTAGGTTTGAAAAATGACCTCGTTCTGACACGTTCAGATTTATCTCCTAGAATTAATTCTTCAGAATGTGATAATATATTTATGTGCTTCCTCAAGGGTGTTTGTGCTTTGACTTCTTCTGGTTAAAATTCTTCTGACTCTTTGACCTCTTGGTCTTCTAAACCAACTTCATTTCCTTCAGCGCCTGAATAGGTAATCTCTAAATCTGCAAGTTCTTCAACTAGCTTTGACTTTTCAAGGTTAAGCTTATCATCGAATCTAATATGGATTGATTCTTCAATACTAAGTGTCTCATTATTATATACTCTATAACCTTTTGAGTGTTCAAAATACCTAACATGACACAACTTTGAGCTTTAGAATCAAACTTGTTGATATTCTCTTTAGTATTTAATATAAAATAAGAGCATCCAAAAGGATGAAAATAAGAGATATTGGGCTTCTTGTTCTTCCATATTCATAAGGAGTTTTACCCAGAATAGGTCTTATATATTTTTAATGTAACATGTTTTATTTACTACCTCTTCCCAGAAGTGCTTTGTGTTTTACCCCAATTTTTTCCCCTAAGATTCCTCTATCATCTCATATCAAATCAATCACAACAAGATCACACTAGGGTTTGGTTCTTCTCCTTATCTTTAAGTTTTCTCCTGAGGAATCACCAAGCACCTTGAATCATATATGTTTTGTATTGATTAACTTTTAACTAACAAATTCAATGAATGTTTGCTCTAATTGATGATGTTATAGGTGAAAGCACAACACATTTAATCAGGTTGATCTATAGGTTCATGAGTTTATTTCCATGCCTTCTTCAACAAAGCTTCATTGAGTCTCAAGCTTCATCATTGAAGATACTTTGAAGTGACATCATGAAAAGGTATACTATGATTCATCATGCCTCAATTTTTTAAAGAAAATCAAAAGATGCAAGAGTTGATTGAAAAAGTTTGACCTAATTGGACAAGTTCTTGATTTCTTGATCATAAGTGCATAACTATCTCAATTATCAATATTTGGAGGTGGTTTTTGTTGCTATGGATTATTATTATCATACACAACAACTTCTATTCACATGGCAACGGTATTTGTTTAAGAAAGTTTGTCAAAATTGAAAGGGGTTCTCAAGGAATTTTGTTGCTCTAGAAGCTAGGGTTTTGAATTTCTAAGGGCTATACCTTGCCCATATTTTGATATTTTTGGGTAATTACCAAGGCATGCTTCTCTTTAAAGGGTTATCAACTAATCACTTTAAAATTTTCAATAATAGTTTATGTGGAATATGTCTAATGATGAAGAAAGATTACATGTCCTCTAGATAGGCTATCAAATTCCCTTATGTGACTTCAAAAGATCATAACTTAGTCAATTTTTATCTCCTTGAGCCCATTACTTTTCCAAAATGATCTTAAGGATGTGAACCTCAACTCTTCTTTTATGTGCAAAGCTTGAAATTGGATGGAAGATGCCCTAAGAATGCAAATGATTACAGGTCACCTCATGAATTTTCACCAACTTCACAAAGTCATAACTTTCTAAATTCTTGGATTTTTTAAGTGGTTCAAATCTCAAAATTTCATTTAATAGATTTACTCCATGCTATCTTTTTTGATCAAAAGCAAATTTTGAGTGGAAGGCAATGTTTGGATGCAAGACATTATAGATCACTTTTGAAGAAAAAACTTGGAATTTTTCTAAGTACAAAAAGTCAACATCTTTTTCTCAACTTTGACTCATCACAATTTTTAGCTCAAGCATCCATTTGATTCCATTATTTTCACATTGTAAAGATTGTAATCTTATCTTTTAATTTCTTCAAGAATCATGCCCTAAGACCCCTTGAGCTATAAATGCCATTGATTCAAAGTTGGTACCTTGAAACTGACTTTTGCCTCCAAGTCAGAATTTGAAATGCACAATTCAGCTTCTAATCACTAAATTTCTATGCATTTTTACTTAAAATCATGTTTAACAATCTTCCAGAAGTAATTAGCACCTTGAAACGTAAGTTTTGAGCAAAATAGAAGTCACATTTTTCATGCTTGCAACTTCACACGATTTCCCTCCAAAATTCATCATTCCATATGCTTGAGCATTCTATTTTATTCCCTATAAATAGAGGGTTATATCTCATTCATTTTTTCAAGCTTAGACAACCAGAATCACCCTGCCTAACTCTTTCCTTAGCCTATATTTCTGCAACTTCGAATTTGGTTTTACAGCCTTCCTCAATCCATTTTCTTTGTCAATTCTTTATCTTTGAACTTCACTGAATCTAACAGAAGCAGAACCAAGCCCTAAAGCATCCTAAATCGTGCTAGCCAAGTCAAGTTTCAGAGCTCTGAATTTGAACTTCAATAGGTAGATTCCTTCATCATTTCTCTCAAAATTTGTTACCATAATGAAGCTCTCATCATTCTAATACTAGTCACAACATTTGCTTTCATCTGGAATTGAGTTTTGGTCATGAATTTTCAAATCCCTATTCAACTTTTTTCTTCTGGTTTTCTTCAAATCGACTGAGCTACAACTTATATAAATTTTTCACGAGGGTAAAATTTTCTTCGTCTTGATGAGACGGAGCAAATGGCATAGGTCTGAGCTCCTG